TGGCCAACGAACCGATGTCCCTCCTGATCAATGAAGATAAAAAGCTTTCAGAACGCACTAAACTCAAATGTTCAAGTCTGATGGAACTCATCGACCTTTTTATGACAACATACTTCCAATTCAACGACAAGATATACAAACAGATGAAAGGAACTTCAATGGGATCACCGATATCTGGATTAATTGCAGAAGCAGTGATGCAGAGACTGGAAGCCATTATTCTACATATGATCAAACCAAAAATTTGGATTCGCTATGTAGACGACAACCTCGCCTGGTTAACTAGTTTACTAGTTACTAGCCGGTCCTAAGCCCGGGTAAAGAGGGAAGGTTGGGCATAGGCTAGCAACCCTACCCCGTAAAACAAATCTAACCGCTAAAGAAACTTCAAAGCACAAACAAAATATAAAAATGAAAACAAACTTATTCCCCGCTGGAATCGGAGAGGCGAAATGACGCCAGTTGGTGAAAGCCTGCCTTCGGGAAGCCAATTGGCCGATGTGTCTTCTCTCGATGAAAGCGAAAGTAAACGTGGGGACATGGAATGTCCGCACGATGTTTGAACCCAGTAAGGCAGCCCAGATTGCAAAGGAGATGAGAAGGTATAACATCGAAGTGCTTGGGATTTGCGAAAGCAGATGGAATGGGAGTGGACTCTCCAAACTGTCAACTGGAGAATCAATAATCTACTCCGATACTGTCACCCAGACGCCAACCACGAACACAGCACACTGAGTTATGGAGTGGCTATCATGATGTCCTCAAGAGCATCGAAGGCTCTCATGCAGTGGGAACCAATCTCCTCCAGGATCATGACAGCAAGATTCAACTCAAAAGGAAGAAAGGTCACAATCATACAATGCCTGGTTATGCACCTACAAATAATGCAGAGCAAGAGAAAAAGGAGGATTTCTACAGACAACTTCAATCAACACTGGACAAGACGTCAGTTGGCGATATCAAAATTCTGATGGGCGACATGAATGCCAAACTGGGAGGGGACAACACGGGAAGAGAACTAACCATGGGTCGAGAGGCACTAGGTGAAATGAATGAGAATGGAGAATTGTTTGCAGAATTCTGCGCATTCAACGATTTGGTGATTGGAGGCAGTGTGTTCAGGCACAAAGATATCCACAAAGCGACATGGATTTCACCAGATGGACACACTAAAAATCAAATCGACTTTATCTCAATCTCAAGAAAATGGAGACGCAGTCTACTTAACACAAGGTCAAGAAGAGGAGCAGATGTAGGTTCAGACCACTACCTAGTGCAAGGAACCTTCCAAATCAAGTTAAAAGCCTTCAAGGAAGCTGGTGATAGACCTCAACCCAAGTACAACACTCGGAAACTGAAGGATGAAACTACAAAGGAGATCTTCAAGGCAGCCATCAAGACAAAATGGGAGACATCGAGCAACATCCCTGAAGAAACCTGTGTGGAAGAACACTGGAAGTCTTTGAAAGCTATGTGGAAAGAAACCTGCACAACAGTATTAGGAAGGAAGAAGAAAGAAGACAAGGAATGGATCTCGACGGATACCTGGAAGCTGATAGAGGAGAGGAGGATGGTGAAGCAGAAGATAAACCAGTGCAAGGATGCTCAACGACAAGAGGAACTGAGCACAATGTATAAAACACTGGACAAAGAAGTGAAGAAGAGTGCACGCAAAGACAAAAGACACTTCTACGAAACACTGGCAAGTGAAGCAGAACAGGCTGCAGGTAAGAGAGACCTGACGACATTGTATCAAATAACCAGGTTGCTATCAGGGAAGAGACCAACACAGATGAAACCAATAAAAGATGAAGAAGGAAATTTAATTACAAAAGAAGAGAAACAGAGGAAACGATGGGCCGACCACTTCAAGAAGCTCTTGAATCGACCACCACCTGCACTTCGTCCAGAAATACCACCTGCAGCCGCTGAACTACAAGTGAACATTAATCCCCCAACGAAAATGGAAGTCCTGAACGCCATAAAGCTACTGAAATGTGGGAAAGCAGCAGGACCAGATGGAATACCGCCAGAAGCACTGAGAACAGATGCAGAGACAACAGCGGACATGCTCACACCACTATTGCAGAAGGTGTGGAAGGAAGAGAAGGTACCTGACCATTGATTGGAAGAAGGGTTACCTTGTCAAACTGCCGAAGAAGGGAGACCTCAGTGCTTGCAAGAACTGGCGCGGAATCACTCTCCTGTCCACCCCAAGTAAAATATTAAGCCGCATCATCCTGGAGAGGCTAAGGGATGCACTGGATTCAAAACTACGACCGGAACAGGCAGGCTTCAGGAAGTACAAATCATGTGCAGACCAAATTGCAACGCTTCGTATCATCATAGAACAGAGCATAGAATGGCAATCAGCTCTCTACCTCAACTTCATCGACTTTGAGAAGGCCTTTGACAGCGTCGACCGAGAAGTAATTTGGAAACTGCTTCAATACTACGGAGTACCGCAAACCTTTATCCGCCTCATTCAACAACTATATGAAGATGCCACATGCCAAGTAATCCACAATGGGAAGCTCAGTGATGCCTTTGAAGTGAAGACAGGAGTGAAACAAGGTTGCCTACTATCCCCCATGATATTCCTTATTGTGGTGGACTGGATCATGCAGCAAACAGTAGGCAGCGAGAAGAGGGGGATACACTGGACGACGGAAAAGAACCTAGAAGACTTGGATTTCGCCGATGACTTATGCCTAATGTCACATAAACTTGAAGATCTGCAGGCAAAAACTAACAAGTTGATAGAAGAGGCAGCGAAGACGGGACTTCAGGTGAATATAGAGAAGACAGAAGTGATGAAGATACCGCACCACCACCATCAACAACAACAACAAACTCCAATCACCGTCAACGGGAGAAACTTGAAGGAAGTAACCTCCTTCACTTATCTAGGAAGCACTGTTTCAACTACAGGCGGGACGGACGAGGACGTCAAAGTCAGAATCGGAAAAGCAAGACAGGCGTTCATTAGCCTGAAACCAGTGTGGAGATCTTCTGCACTCAGCATGCGGAACAAGATACGGATTTTCAACACCAACGTCAAGTCAGTGCTCTTGTATGGCTCAGAGACTTGGCGCGTCACGAAAGGTATTTCCAATAAACTACAGACATTCATCAACAACTGCTTACGCTGGCTCGCTGCTGAAGATCAGATGGCCAGAAAAAATAAGCAACAAGGAACTAAAACTGGGAACGAACCAACCAAGAACCTATCACGCAACAAATATGCAGGAAGAAGTGGAGATGGATTGGCCATGCACTGAGAAGGCCGACTGAGGACATCACGCGTCAGGCCAGTTGCTCGAGTGGAATCCCCATGGGAAGCGACGAGTTGGACGTCCCAGCTGAGGGTGACATGGAGGAGGTCGTGCGAGCAGGAAATGAGAGCTTCTGGGCTGTCGTGGAACCAGGTTCAAAAGATCTCAGAGAACAGAGGTCACTGGAGGCGTGCTACTGAAGCCCTATGTTCCACTAGGAACCCAAGGGACTAATAATAATAATAAATATGTAGACGACACATTTATCATCATTAGAAAAGATGATATAGAAAACACCCACAGTTTGATCAACAACATTTCAATGACATCAAATTCACAATGGAGAAAGAGTCAAACAACCAACTACTATTCCTGGATGTCTTAGTCACTAGGACAAATGTCGGAAAGCTGGAAACCCAAGTGTACAGGAAGCCAACACATACTGACCAAATCCTCAACTACACTAGCAATAACCCAACAACACACAAAATCAGTTGCGTGCAGACTCTATTCAAAGAGCGAGATCATACTGCAGCACAACAACTTCACGGAGAAACGAAGAAAATTACTTGATGTCCATCCTAAACAAGAACGGCTACCCACGAAACTTTATCAGAAGATGCCTATCCCGTACATCATCAACTACAAAGTCATCAACAGAAATTAACAAACGCATCGTCCTACCATACATAAAGAATGTATCAGAAATCACGACAAGATTACTGAGACCACTTGGAATTGATGTGGGTCATGAACCAACAAATTCCCTCCAAACACTATTATGCAGACCAAAGTATGCAACAAACAAAGAAGACAAACCCAATATCATTTACAAAATCAACTGTAATAACTGTGGTCAGCACTACATTGGACAAAGCAGCCGCCCTTTTCGCCTTCGTCTACATGGGCACCAATTGGCTATTAAACGCCACGACATTTCGTCACTCATTTCAATGCATGTAGATAATTATGGAGATGAATTCAATTCGACAATGTAGAAATTTTGGACAGAGGAAACACAAAGAATGTCAGAGAATTTCTAGAAGCTTGGCTTTCAGGTCAGTCAGCAATCCACAGATGTATAGACATAGACCAAATCTATCAACCAGTAAGAAAAATGATAAACGACAGAAAGGTCAGAGGTGAGGCAGAGGAACAGCCAACAGGAAAGTCTATACAATCAATGACACAACAATCGAAGGAAACAACCAATCATAGACCACATCGTCAGAGCAAGCTACTAAATCACTCACGGAGAGATATTGACAGCTCACTCATACTGAAGTTAGTGCTGATGATGTCGTCTAGCAAGGCGATGAAAGCTTCACGATTAAATAACCCAGCTCAAAGATGTAGTTATATGGTTTAGTACAGTGATTAATATCCTTCGTTTCAATGAACGTTCACTTGGGCTTTAGCTTTCTTTCTGACACAGATTTTGTACCGGTTTGTTTGGCAGTTGTCGAATCTACTGAGCCTAGTGTTATCCCAATCCTAAAAATGATGATAATGAAGGCTTCAGTTAAGTCCATTTTAAAGCGTTTATTTGAGCTATAGGATGACACTGACAGATTCATAACAATATTTTTCAAAATCACATTCGTAATTACGGTTTGTATAATGGATTTTTGCATTGGTTTTTGAAATCTTTAAATAAGTTACTTGTAGATCTGTGGTAAGAAACTAATCGTAATTTATTGGTCAGTTGTGAAAAAAGTAGTCAATCCCTGATCTTTACAACCTTCATAAATCTAAATTTAAGTCGTTCTGTTTCACAATATAGACCTGAGTAAGTTGCTTAATAATTCTATGGATTCCTTTTCGCAGATATCCACTAGCATGTTTCACTCACTTTGTCTGCTGAAACCGAATTGTCAACTGAATTAATTATTCATACACCGGATACTCAAGATTTATGACAGCTAATCACAGGTGATAAACGAATATTTGCTCAGTTTAAATAAAAGTTATTGAGTAATAAAAAGCAGTTAGATAAATAATCGTATTATTATCGGTGACACATGCAGATCTCTCAAATATAACTCACTAATCCTGTACAAGTATGTATTGCTCATTAGATTCAATAATGAATTTCGAGTTTTTCAGACCCTAATCAACTATATTGGACCTGTGCAAACGAGTTCTATCATTAACTCTCATACAGGAAACTTAGTTTATAGCCTAATGTATAAACAGCAGTAGCGGGTTGAGTTTCACACCGCATATCACATTTTCTGTATTAAGTGATAAACAAAACCCAATGATGCTACCTTGTTTTCCTTGCTTCACTAAGTAGATCCCATCTCAACTTGGAACACACACAGTTAATAATCAAGAGCATAAACCACTGAAGTACAGTACTAATTCGCAAAAAAAAGTTGAAGAGAAACTTATCTACAAAAATAAAATATCTTTGGTAATAACTACCATCAATGACAAAACAAACAGACGGAAATGGTAAAAAATTTATGATATATGTAGGACATGTAAGCAGTAGTTAGCACTGTAAACAAGAACTTGGGTTAGCACGTAAACAAACGATAACAACAGAAAATTCAGTCAACCAAAAAGTAACACACATACACATATATGGGATTTCCTTTCTTTCGTTAAACAGTGTATACGAGAAATAATAAAGGGAAATATTAAAATTAAACCTTACAATGTAATGGAAAACAATCATTTTTAGAAAAATGATAATCAGATTAAAATGTAAAAAGAAATTCACAGCCTCTTTGTTAATCAACCGCAGTCCAATACTCTCATATATATGCACAGTAACGTGAAAGAAACATTAGGAGACCAATTTGAACAGTGAATAAATAGATATGCTGCAGTATTCCCTTCCTCTCTCTCAGTCGATATCTAATCATATTCCTTCTACATAGCATCGAAATGGAAACGTTGTGATTCCTTTTGTTTTTCCAAACGATCTTCACGAAATTCAAACCACTGAAGTATGCCAATAATAATTAGTAGCAGAATGCAAACGCATAACAATGTGATGGCAATGTAAAGCACCTTCATGTTATACAATGGTTGAAGAAACAGTTTCATAGTCCACCTATACATGAGAAATAGTAATAATAATAGAAGGTACACAGACAATCATAGCAAAGAATGATGAGACAATAATATGATGAGTATAATGTAGAGAAACATCTGCGATAGATTGAGACATGTCACCTAGAGTCTTCAACTACGGATTTCTCTTGTCACATAGACACCAATCAGGAATTTTACATCTCACTCCACGTTGTAACCAACATTTAAATTCTTCATGAACTGATGTCATGTTTTAGTTTGACCCCTCTAACCTTTTTACAGGCTGAACCTACTATCAACTACCGATGTATAACAGGATGGACGGTGACTAAGCATGAGTAACGCATATCTCAGCCGCTTCAGTCCATGAAGCTTCAAAACCTCATCAACTGACTTTCCTTTTCTTTGCAAAAAACTCTATGTCAAACTTCTAATTTACTCACGTAGTCGCAACACGTAACTGAACATGTTACGAAGGTGGCTGTGGCTGAACACCTGATGACTTCCTATGTCACCCGCCATTAATAATCCTACTTCACGAAGATATGATATGCAACTTATAAACTAGATAAAGCACATACCACAACATTCTGTTCGATGTCAGACCTCCATAAGAATGCAATGCAATACAGTTTCACTGGAAGACATAACTAGTTGGCGAACTGGAACAAAAGTAACATCCAGTACACCATTACGCTGATTCACGTCTCCACACTTTTACAACGAAATGGTGAGATAGAATCAACTGGAAAAATGAAATACCTAAGTGAACCGGAGTAAAATAAGATAAAGAATAGAATACTAACATAATTTAAAGTTAAAAAAAAGGCGAAGAATGGGTATATCCATTCATCCACACAACTATACACATGGATATCTTGAGTCGCTATAAAACCTTACGTTATGATAGCGGTTCGATGTTCTCTTATTCTTGGTATCCCTTTTGTGGTGTTTTCGTCACTATGTTTGGTGACACCCTCAGCAGTAATTTCACGAAGAAATCAAGCATGTTCAAAAGCTACACAGATGTTTATGTGGGTTCTTTTCTGACCTTGGATGCTGTCAATCTATAAGTTGGGGATTGTTCATAACACTTTACTGACCAGTCTAGCCATCGGATTGCTTATAGAATTCATGAATACCAACTAGTAACAAAATAATAGAACGCAGACTCCTTACTTTCACTGCATACAGACCATCATGATCACGAATTCTACTAGGAGAATACGCTAATCCTCCGAAGAGCTGGTTAACAAGCCTCAAGAGAACTTCTAGGAGCACAGCATTCCAGTGAAAAGTCAATCAACGGAAATGTGGATACAGGCCCAATCCACAATCTGCTTACCAAGAAAACAGTCATCCATCAATCAAGTGCGAATTGCCCAAACAAATCATTGGTGAAGCAAGCACAATGTGATAACAATAAATCTCACAATTTCACTACAACAAAGATTATCTACCAACGTAACCGGATGAAATGCAACGTCAATTAGGTCAAGGTATGACAAAAGTCTCTTCATTAGACGATCCAAAATGTCACACCTTATATCGGCACATTAAGATACTAGACACAGAGATGAAAGGTAGAGAGAAAAGGAAAGATACCAAAAAAAACCACGAACCTCTTTGATTTTTGTCTGGCTTTCTTAAAGTTTCTTATGTTATCCTCCCATCACAATAAATATCGAAATTCCCAGCAGATCATACAATTTGCAAGTCTACCACATGTCTAAACTCTCGCATGTGGCATATATTCAGAAAACTAGTACTGTAACTATAATCTTAACAGTATTTCGCAGATTACTTAAGAAAACGATGATACACCTCTAGTTAACCTTAGCATAACTGTTTTTATATTAGACCGTCGTTGATTGGACCGAATCGATCGGTCTCTTTTGACATATAGACTCCTGTGCGAATGCCTCGATATTACCTGTGCTCTAATTATAGTTAGTAATGATGGATAGTGGCTAGCAGTGTGATCCAGGAGTCCCAAATGGGACAAAATGCGCATCCAATCAACGACGGTATAATATAAAAACAACTACAAAATTACACCCATCGCACAAGAAGTGGTACCGTGGCTCGGTGGTGTAGTGGATACCACCCTGGCGTTTGAGTCGATCACTCCCGAGTCCGAATCCCGGCGGGAACAACACTCACTGGGAAGCAGGTACATCCAGCTGACGAGTCCCAAACAGGACGGAATGCGCATACTGGACTTCACTGTTAGCCACTGTCTAACATTACTAGTTAACCTACTGACACTAAATAAACTAGGAGTTGCACAGTAGCTGTATACATAACCTAACATAGTAAACTGTGATGTTGAATGTATTAGTCAGTCTGTTGTGCTGGATAAAGCACAGTGGCAGGAATGGGTTACTTTCATCGGGGAATTTCGGGATAACATCCTAACAGAGTGTACCAATTGAAAGAATAAAATGCATTGTTTGTAAAGTAAGTTTCAGTTAAATTTACTCAATAGAGACTACGATTGCACGGAGTAATGACAGAGAGTAAATAAAGACGGGTCAGTAACTCAGATGCCGCGTGTTTGAATCTTAAGACCTTCAAACATCACTCTGTATGAACAAAAACCAGCATGTCAAATCATAACTATACAAGATAGTTTCAGCGAAAACTATTACTCCCCACATAATGAACATGTTATGAACTAAATAACTAATCTGTGCTAAATGATTTTTGAAGTGTAAACTATACTACTATAAATGAAATAAATAAATAGATATCACCAGGTACAAAACAGCACTTGACAACTTAGTTTCACTTGTGTATTCAAAGTAATATTAGTCTACTTATTTACAACACTTACGCAGAAGGATTATCCAAAGGGAATGGATTGATCACGATCTGGGCTTTGGGTACTATAAATGACAGTAAACGTGACCGTATAGCCTAAAGAAATCGAAACGTTATGGGTATAAGATGCAGTAACTCATAAAATGTAAATTTCTTTAAAAATGAAGCTTTTAATTAACAGAAAATCAAGAATATAAAGGTGGCTATCCTATACGAAAACAATATTTCAATCTCTATGGATATACTTAGAGTTGACTGCATCCTTCGACCTCGTAGTTATTGAACCGAGTGGAAGAAAGTTTAACAGATGAGATTAATAACACTATTCTGGTGAATACGCAGCATGAGATGGATACCTTTGCAGTCCATATATAAAATGTTCAACGAGAAAAAACAATGAACAATAGCATGTACAACCTTGGAGCATTTTTACAGCATGACACAAGGTTGTCATCATATCCATGCAACATGATTCCCATTCCCTAGACAATCCGGTTTTAAGATGTCTTCATTACAGTTGGTTTGGCAACCCTTATTATAAATTTTGTTGTGTTGATCCGAAAACATACTAACAACTTAGATTATCATTAAACTGGAATCTAAATAAGTTAATTGGTTTTTATCTTACCTCACATTTTTTGTAGTCCTTATGAGAGTAATCAATGTTTATCACTGATTATTTCACTATTTCATATTTAGATGGCAAAAAAATTATCCTTTGCCCGATAAACATCGCCATTCAAACACACTGTAAAAGGTTACTTCATTTCTTGTCGTCTCACTAGAATATATCCGTTATTAGGAGCTTTTGATATGAAGTTGTTTGTTCTAATATACGACACCGGGATTACATACGTAAAATACACATGATACAATAAATAATTCAAGAAGCTTACAATATTAAAACGCAATAATTGGTAACGTTTTTTATGCTATTTATTAGTGCTTCGAATCTTGTCATTCATAAATGGTATACTAGAATAACACGAGATATCTTGATAACTAGATTCCCGTCAAAAAAGTGATCAAAAATAAAGTTGATGCTTTCTTCACTTGAATGATGATTCTTAGACAAAAATACTTACCGTTTTCTACTTGGTGACTGGCTGTGGAATCGAGGACGCGGGTTTCGTCCTATTTGGGACTCGTCAAATGGATGTTTCCTGACACCAGTGGGTGATCTTCTCACTGAGACTCACACCTAGTTCCCATCACTTCAAACTCTCTAAACCGTTATCCACTAAGCCACTGCAGGTGGTTCTCGTGACACAGTAGCTCAGATCCTGGATAGCATTGCCAGCTACCAAGTGGACTACAATATAATGATATCCAAGCAGTACCGAGGTATCCTCAAAGAAGCTCATTTGCCAAAAAAAGCCGAGAAATTCGATCCATTAGAGTAGCATAAAATTACAAACAAAAATACTTACCGTCTTTGATGGAGGTATAGATATAGTCAATTTCTCCACATAATTTGCAAATGGACCTAAACCAAGTATTTCAAAGGGCACCTGAAGTGCACTGCAACAACTCTGAGAACTTAATAATGAGGAAGAAAGTTGGCGGCCTCCAGTAGCAGCCTCCGTATCAAGCTCAGAACTTATGCCAGTTACAGGAAGACCATATGGTAATCTACCATCTGAACATACGTCAGGAGATGAGCAAAGTCCATTGAGGACAGTGACCTGGTAAATATAAGTTGAATGATGAACTGTTATGAGAATTAGTTTATAGGTATTACGATTCATAGGACATAAAACTTAGCGATTTCTTGTTGAACTGGTTGTTGAATCCAGTGAAGCTCAATCCAAAATATAGTTACAAAATTTACACAAAAAAGCATTTAAAGGAAGTTATCTATACGTACTCATATACTACACT